GAGCAGAGTATGATGACCCCTTCCCCTGTTCTGGACACTGTACTCCCATCAATCCAGCCTAAACTGGCATTAAGTTTTTAGCAACAGCATTACACTGGCAGCTGATGTTGAAGTTAAATCTCCCAGTGATTTGTTAACATGGATGGCTTTTAAGCTGGTCTCTCCCATTAGCTATACAAGTCATTGATTATTTGAATCAAAATGCTGGTGTTGTCATTTATCTTTGTTAAAATTAATCTGGTTGGTTTCACCCATGATTACAACCAGTTAAAAATCCTTTTGACTCCTAAAGACCTCATTTCACAGTAGCTCTGTCATTTAGAAATGTGAAGAACTTGCTAAAAAATAATCAGCAGTGGCCTTGTCATCACCATCATCTATCGTTATTATCATGGGATCCAAATGGAACAAGGTTAAACAAAAACAATAATTTGTCAATATGCAGAGTCAAAGTAAGGACTGAACAACTAAGCCACAGGAAAGGCAAAAGTAAGGCTGGTCCTCAGTGAGAATTAGGACAGGAACTCAAAATCCCTCAGACTTCCCTTTCCATCTCTCATCTCTGTCTACAGGTCAGCCTTCTTCCTCTCTGACTACAGTCACTTTCTCCCACAGCAGAAAACGTGGCTGCCAACAGCTCTGGAGCTTTACTTGTTGCAGCTTCAACTTCTTTGAAAGAAATTGATCTGGTCTCAGGGGTAAAAATCCAGGGAAGGGGAAAAGTTGCTCGACATTATTAGCCAACAGGGAAATGCAAATCAAAACCACAACGAGATACCACTTCACACCCACTAGGAGAGCTAGAATCAAAAAGACAAACAGTGACAAGTGTTGGGGAAGATACGGAGAAATTGAAACTCCCATTTATTGCCGGTGGGATTGTAAAATGATATAGCTACTTTAGAAAACAGTTTGACAGTTTCTCAAACTGTTAAACTTAGAGTTACCATATGACTCGCAGAGAAACAAAAACATATATACACACAAAAACCTGTATACAAATTTTTATAGCAGAATTTAGTCATAATAGCCAAAAAATGGAAACAACCCAAATGTCTATCAACTGATGAATAAAAAAACAAAATGTGGTATATACATACAATGGAATACTATTCAGCCGTAAAAAGGAATGAAGTACTGATGCTTGCTACAACATGAATGAACCTTAGCACATTATGCTAAGTGAAAGAAGTCAGATGCAAAAGGCTACATGTTGTATGATTCCATTTATATGAAATATCCAAAATAAGAAAATCTATAGGGACAGAAAGTATAGTAATGGTTGCCTAGGGCTGAGGGGTGGGGTGTGGAATGGTCACCGAGTGCTAATGGGTGTGGGGTTTCTTTTTGGGGTGATGAAAATGTTCTAAAATTAGACTGTGGTGATGATAGCACAACTCTGTAAATACACTAAAAACTATTGAATTGTACAATTTAAATGGATGAATTTTATGGTGTGTAAATTATAACTCAATAAAGCTGTTAAAAAATGAATCCAGGAAAGGAACTCATTGACCTAGCTTGAGTCAGATGCCCTATTCTGAACTTACTAACTGGGACTAGTGGGGGCAACGGGCACAGGAGAGGTTTGTTAGAATATGGCAGCTCCTCTGAGAACCAGCTTCTCTGGACAGAGTTTATGTCATAATGGGGGGAGAGGAGCACAGTTCCTAAATGGGGTAGGGTATTAGCAGACGAAACAATAGGTGCCCACCACACTGGCTATTTATAGAGAATTTACATTTACCGAGACACAGCATTAAGTGCTTCTTCTGAATTATCTCATTAATTATCACAACAACTCTGTAAGTTAGGTGTATAAGACCCATTTTATGCTGATAGAAGCTCAGGTTAATTACCTTTCCCAAAGTCATTTTAACTAGTTACTAAGTAATAATGTGGGTCTAGGCCTTAACCCCAGATCTGACTCCAGTCTCCTCTCTCAATCATTAGGCCATGCTGCCTCCCTCTGGTTTTATATAAGTTGTTGAAAAATTCTGGAACACACCACTGGAGACCTAACTTTAGATCCATTCTTTGTTTCATTTACTTATTTCCTCTTTCACTAAAGGAGACCCTTCTAGCATGAACACCGTGAACTTCTTTTGTCAGCATAGGACCTCTGTGGTCATCTTTGGGAAGCACCAGAGCACTGGAGACGGGTGTTCAACCCTACTGCTGCCCACCTGCTCTCCACACTACACTCCTCCAGCTCGTGAAGGGTAGAAAGAACTGGGCGGGAACACATCTTGCTAAAATCATGATGCAATAGGTGTCCTGATCCACCAGCCAGTTAACCCTCTCAAAACAAGAGATAAGGTTAATTTGGCAAGATGTGGGCTTAATGAACCAATACAGCTTATTCTCTGAGTGTTCTCAAGCTGTCTACTTAATAATCTGCTCGCAAATGCTGCCAGCAATTTGATGGCAGAATTGATGTATGCCAAGCCTGTTGGTCTGTAGTTTCTCAGACCTCCTTTCCTCTTCTTCAAAAATATCAATACAACAGTTTTCCCTCTCTAGTCTCTTGGTATTTCTCTGCTGCACCATAATTTCTCAGCAATCATGGGCAGTGGATCTACAACTCCATCTGCACATTCCTCCTGTCTCCTGGGGTGGGATCCAGGTGGGCCTGTGATGTGAATCCACTAAAGACAGCTGGGTATTTGCCTGCCCCTCACCCCCCGCTTCAGGCTCCAGATCCTTCTTAGCCGCATTTGTGCCGGCCTTTCCAAGATAAAGCGCGTTTTTCCCGGTGGAGACAGCAGAGAGCACATGGGAGTTGAGTTGTTCTGCTTTCTCCCTGACATCTGTTACCAGCAGACCATCTGCCCCAGCAGTAGGCATAGCTTTCCTACTCGTTCTTTCTTCCAGTGGATAAAACAACCTTTCTGTTGTCCTTAGTATTTTTCACCAGCCTCCATCACCGACACGCAGCCTTCCTGACACTGTTCTGACATACTCTTGCCGTGCCTCATTCTCATGTATGGTCCCGTGCCTAACGTCCACCTTTCAGTCACATCGTCTGAAAATCCCAGCTACGTGATTCACCTCTAGGGGCAGCCCTCTTTTCTTCATCACTGGGATTATTTGAACTTGGGACAATCAGCTGTGTTTTTAGAGCTTCCCAGCAACTGAGACCATGGCTTCCAGAATGCCTAGGTAAAAGTAATAGTATTTATTGTTTGTAATATATGTCACAATAGGATTATGTTATGGGTTACTCTTATTATCTTCATTTTATAGACAAGGAAACTAGGCCCAAAGTAGCATTCCTGCAGGTCACACAGTTATTTTATGATGGAGCTGGGTGGGTCTTGAACCCAGGTCATCTAACTCCAGAAGCCAAGTTCTCAACGGCTACACTGGAGGCCACTCCTGAGCATTGTAGCAGAGAAGGCAAACCTGGGGGCAGAATTCCCAGAAGGAGCTGTCACAGGCCTTAATGTCAGCGTCGTGACTGAGACAGCTGGAGCCAGGACAAAGGGCCTGGACACTGAGGAGGAGGAAGACAGTTCTCAAAACAGGAGCCTCCTTCACAGTGAGTTGAAAGGCTTGTATGAGATCATTCATTTGCTCACCCAGTACGCGTCAACCGCTGGCCTATCCTCCACAGAGCCCTAAGGTGTTTAGGGGGTGAGGACCTCACACTTCTGAAGGGCTCCTCCCATCCCCTTCCACATCCTCTCTGGAGCCCCGGGGCACCTGGGTCCCTTCAGGGGACCCCTTCGAGCCTCACTATTTCAGCAGCAACAGTTCTGGTCATCCTAAGCTCCAGACATCCAGAGGGCACAGGGGCAGGGGAGATGGTGTTTCTGGTTTTGGCCAAAGGAGTCATCACAGCTCTTTGCTTAATAAGGCCTTTAAATTATCCCAATAAAGAGGAGGCTGAACACTTAAAACCGCAGTGGAGAGTGTCTTATCGATTGGAGGAGAGAGCTCTGGCCTGCCTGCCCGGGGCAGAGCGGGAGCCAGGCCAAGTCCCTGGGGCCGCTGCCAGGGTGTGAAGTACTTAAGCGAGTTTCCCAAGCTCTGAGAGGAGCCGGCACCCTCCCCAAATGGCTTCACAGCTTAAGGGGCTGTTTCGGAGCTCATGGTGCCCCCCTAAGACAGTGCAGTTAGCAGAAAAGAGATAGAAGCAAGAGGAGTGGGTTTTGATCCAGCTGCACGCAGATGTGGGCAGTCCACTTCATGTCTGTGAGCCTCGGTTCCTGTGTGTGTCCAACGGGGATGAGGATAGAAAGCTCACGGGGTTCATGGAGCTTACGTGAGGTAAATGTGGAAAAGTGCTTTGTAAATTATGAATCTCCACATGGCTAGAAGGTGGCTTTATTATTTGTTATTTTTATTATCAGAAATGAGATCGGGTTGCTCTTCTGCTTAAAGCTCGTCCACGGCCCCTCACTGCACTTGGGATGAAATCCATACTCCTCGTCGTGGCCACTAAATGCTGCGCGTTTGGGCCCTGCCTACTACTTCAACCTCCTCCTCCCTCACTGCGCTCCAGCCCTGCAGACCCTTTAGAACAGGCCAAGCACCTCCCTACCTCAGGACCTCCGTACTTTCTGTTCCCTCTGCCTGGCCCCCTCCTCCTCCAGTGTATTGCATGGCTGGATCCTCTACCTTCAAATCTCGGCTTACATGTTACCTCCTCAGAGAGACCCTTCCTGACCACACTCCCCCCACCTGGCACTGCACCTGTCTCTACATGCTTCGTAGAAAGAACCACAAGTCACCCTGTTTTTATGGATTCACTTTACTTGTTTATGGTCTTCCCCTTGTAGGATGTTGGCTCCGTGAACATAAGCATCTTGTCTGTTTTGTTCACTCCCAGGTCACATCACAGTACCTGGCACATAGTAGGCACTCTAAACAATTGTTGAATGAGTGAATGAATGAATGAATGAATGCATGCATAGGTGAATGACTGACAGGGAAGCCTGCCTTGTTTCTCAAAAGGCCCCCTTCCTTACACCTGTCTCTCTGTCTCTCTGTCTCAGCTATGGAGACATGGTGCCCAAGACAATTGCAGGGAAGATCTTCGGCTCCATCTGCTCCCTGAGTGGCGTCCTGGTCATTGCCCTGCCAGTCCCTGTGATCGTTTCCAACTTTAGTCGGATTTACCACCAGAATCAGAGAGCTGATAAACGCAGGGCACAAAAGGTAAGCCTCAGCCCCAGGGGGTGAGGGGGGGCACTGGAGAGGGGCCTGGCCCTTCACCTTGTGCGGCTTTCACGGTCGGGTCGCCAGGCCTGGAGTCCGTGGAGAACCACTACCCAGACGGCCTCTGGAACAAACCCTCAATTATCCGTAAGCTGATTATCTCCCTTTTGGATATTCTACGTAATTTCCTCGGGCCCTGGCTCCCCATGCAAGACCTCAGCCACCAACACTCGGCAGTGCCCTGGACTCCTCCCTCTCGCAGCCAAGAGCTTATGGGGAACAGAATCGCTTTTCAATACCCTATAATAGTCTATACAGAACAGAGTGACAAAAATAAATCTGCTGGAAGGAAAAATGAATACTCTGAAGGGAGAAGATTCTGAGGCCATTGAGTTGAAGGACAAACGGCACAACAGGCTTTAGTCACCTTGCAGTTTCGTGGGGTTGAGGCGCAGAACTGCAGTTGATGGTCGGGAGAATACAGGTGGGCCTGAGAAACATTCTCATGATGTGCAGTGGACACAGCTGAGGAAGGCAGGGCGGGGGACGCCCTCATGCTCACAGAATGGGGAAAAGTCTCTGAAGGCTTTGGTGCCTGGACAGACTGGCCCTCTGCCTTCCATCCAACTCACCCACTCAGCCAGCTGTCGTCCACCTGCATTTTTAGGGTGTCTGGCTAGTGAAGGTTCTTGGGTGGTGACTCTTACCAGATTCCCATCAGGAAAGGGGAGGACCGAGGGGGTGCTGAAACACGGTACCCCAGGCATCTCAGCCTCCAGGGGTACGGTTAGAGCCCTTCTGGATACAGTGGACAGGGGAACCTCATTGAGAGTGACTTGTGGAGGCCTGAGATTTGGTGTCCCTGTTTTCTTCTTTCTCTCACTCATTCATTTCACAAACATTTCCGCGCACCTCCTGTGTGTCCGGCCCCGGGCTGCAGCTGGGTGTTTCCTCACCACCTGATCCCTGCTCCTGGCTTCCCACGCGTGGGGACAACCCCCAAGTAGCAGGGCTTCCTCGACACATCAGAGGAATCCAGAACTTCAGAACGGATCTGTGTGTGCTGACTGAAACAAAGTCACAAAATTCATGCGAGTTAGCTCTGAAATGTATAATAATTTACATATGATAACACTTAATAATATAATATATAGTTTATAATTATATAATAAATCCAGTTGGTTCCCACTTCCAGCACATCCCCTTTTGTGTACCCTGTGGTCACTCACTCCTCACCCTCTGTCTCCCTCCTCTTGTGCTGGAATATATTTTGACTTATTTTGACCTGGGCCTGGAATCTAAGGCCAGCCTGCCTTGGATTGCTCTTCTGGCTCTGTGCTGTCCTCTCCATCCCCCCAGCACCCATTTCCTACCTCTTCACTCAAGGTCAGGGCTTCCACACCCCCATCCCCTGCTAACCATCCCAGAAATGGAAGTCTTATCTCTTTCCATATTCAAGTCAGCTGAATGTGGACAATACCTGAATTCATTATGCAGTCTTAAAGAAACGGGCAGGAACAATCTGGGATCTCCGTTCCAAATCAGGGAGCCTGAGGCCCTGAAGGGCCAGGAGTCCAGAGTAACCTCACCCCCAGGGGCTAGGGCTGACACAGGTTTGTGGCCAGCAGGTGAGGTTCTAAGGAGTCCTCAGCTCCCACACCAGCCTGTGGCTGTGCCCACAGCAGCCCCACTCGAGCTGTGTAGGCAGCTCCTGCACTACCTTCCCCTCCGTGCCCACACCCTTACCCACTTCTTAGAGCCAAGCATCCGCTGTCGTTTTGCCCCTGCAAAGAATAGGAGTGGCCATTTCCCCATGGGGCTTTACAAAGCTCATCCTGTGTAATCAAAATCCAGAAGGAATCAGCTTTGGCGTATTCCTCTCTCTAGCCACTAAAGATCAGACTCCTTCCCTTCTGCCTCACACCGTACCCTCCTCCCTCCCCTCTTCGCTCTCCCTTTGAAATCAGAGTAAATATTTACAGTGTTTGCACCTCTCCTGGATACTGTCTCTCCTCAAGGTTGCTCAGCTCTGTCTCTTTCACCTTGGGCTTCCTGTGAAAGGGAACAAAAAAAAGAATACTGCCTGCTACCAGCACTGAGTCTGTCACCGTGAGGCGAGGAAGGCAGGTCTAGGGGATTCATGGGGAGTGGAGAATGGGACAGGAAGAAGGTCTGGGAAGCTAATCGTTCTCAGCCCAGACCCCAGACTCAGGAGCTATGCAGCCATAAAGGTGAGCTCCAGCCACCTGTGCCTCAGGTGTAAGGAAAGGCTCAGAGTTGTCATCCTTTCCGGTCGTAACTGGTTTGCTTGGGATTATTGCTAAATGACTCCATGACTGTTTGCTTCAGAGACTGAGTTCTCTGAGCCAGGTGAATTGGAGATCGAGTAAGGAGATCTAGCAGTGAACAGAGCGAGGGGAACATCTGGACTGGGGATTTTTTTTATGGAAATTTTTATTGAGATCATTGTAGATTCACATGAAGTTATAAGATTATCACAACCAGGGTATGGACAGTGATACAATCTGCCAGTCCTACCCAGACTTCCTCACCTTTATTTCTACTCGTGTGTGTGTATAAGTTTTATACTGTTTTATCACCTATGCAGGTTCCTGCATCCACCACCTCAGTCAAGGTACCAGACAGTTCCAACACCACAAGGATCTCTCGTGTTGCCCTTTTATAACCACACCCTCCCACCCTTCCTCCACCCTGTCCCTACCCCCTGGCACCCATTCATCTCTCCTCCATTTGTAAAATGCTTTTATTTCAAAAATGTTATATAAATGGACTCATCCAGTAGGTAACCTTCAGAAATTGGCTTTTTTCATTTCGTGTGATTCCTGGAGATTCCTCCAAGTTGTGTGTATCAATGGTCTGCTCCTTTTTCTTGCTGAGCGGTATCCCACGTATGGATGTATCACAGTTTGTTTAACCATTCATCTGTTGAGGGACATCTGGGATGATTCCAGTTTTTGGTTACTATAAATAAAGCTGCTGTGAACTTTCATGTACAGGTTTTTGTGTGAACATAAGTTTCAATTTCTCTGGGAAAATGCTTAAGAGTGCAATTGCCCATGTTTTCTTTTCGCTTTTCCATTTCTCCCTTTCTTTCCTTCTGCCTCTCCCAAGGCAAGAGATGTCAATACTCGTGGCCAAGGGCACCTGCTAGCCAGACAGCTAGGAAGTCTGGCAGTCACGAGAGGCATCTCGGGACTGACAGAATTCTTGAGCGTAGACTCTACCTGGAACTGTACCCAGGGTGGCAGCATCCTCCTTCCAGACCTCTTCTCCAACCCTGGAATCTCCACATCTGTTGAAAGTGCAACTTCCTGGGCTTTGCTCATCAAGTTTAGAAACTAGCCTGACAGGAGTTGAAATTCAGGGAAGGAGGAGAGGGAGGTTATGGACACAGCATTTTCCCTGAAGGTTGGAAGACCTGAGCTGAAGTCTTGCTAGTCCACTGCTTGCCCTGGATAAGTCACTTCCCCTGACGCCCTCTATTTCTTGTCTTTGAAACGCCTAGATGATCTCTACATTCTCCTTTAACTCTCACACTGTACTTATGGCAGTGGAAGAGAGTCAAACTGACCAGTCCACACAAGGATTGAGCCCATTACAATGGCCTGATTAACATGGATTTCTGATCAGCTGCGTAGGTTCTTCTTCCTGGGCCATCACAAGCCTCGCTTGAGCACCTGCTCAGTGTGAAGCTCTGTGCCAGGCTCTGAACCTAAAAATGTGCAGAAGCCACAGACTCCGGCCCTCAGGAGCTCAAAGTCAAGCCAAAAATCCTCACCAAATTTCATATGCTGCGTATGGTTATGTAAATACATTACAAACCTCTTTATCCTGTGTGGGAAATGATTAAACGATATAGTGCATTTGATATGACAATCTGTTGCTTTAATAGAGCCCAGGGTAAGATAAGATTAAAAGAAGTGCCACAAAGGAGAACAGGAGAATCTTTCATCTCTAGAAAGCAATGAAGACAGACCCCAGATACGAGAAAGGTCTGGCTGTAAGTGGTGCAATCAAATTATATAAGGCTATAATGAGCTTGACACAATTGGATTTCCATATGCAGCTCTCAACGCCCAGTATTCACCCAAAGCAATTAACAGGCACATCTTCAAATGATAAGAAACTTGCTTGAATGTAGACATCTAGCTGAAAGGAGGGCTGGAGCAGGAGTCCCAGGGAGGAGAATTGTCCTGGACCTTGAATGAATGTTCTTTGCTCAGAGAGTAGAGGAATGGTAGGGATGACTTACCATCCTTTCTCTCCCAGGTTCCCCTTTTCATTCTCTCCATCTAGAGGAATGTTCTTCCTCGGATTTACAGGCAGATCTTCCAGGCTCAAGTCCTGGCCTCTTCCAGATATATAGAAGCCAGGGAAGGGAGTAGAATTGTCCCTGCAAAGACATGCTGGCCACAGGGGGACTTCCCAGGAAACAAGAGATAGCGTGTCCTTTGTACTTCTGTTGAAAGCCTGAACCTGAGTCCCTGACCTCCTTTTAGCAGATGAACTAGCCCAGCAGGACACTAGGAGGGGACACTCCCCCATGTTGCAGAGAGGGTGACAAGTAGTGGAAATGTCACAATTTTCCAAGGACTCTTCTCCTGCTTGAAGTCCATGCTGATGTTCCACGTGGACTTTCCCAGAGGCAGGAGGAGCCCTCTGCCCCGGGATGGATCTGAGTCCGTGTGGGCTGCTCTGCTTCCAGGAGCAAGGGCCTAGAGCTGAGTCTAGATCTACAAGAGCCCAACCCTCAAGTTGCATTATTTTAAACCAGCAGGAACCCCCTTACTCATCCCTTCTCCCTCTCTCCCAGAGACTCCTTCCTCCTAGGCTTCACTCTGTGTTTGTGCTTCTGTCATGGTGACACTGATTATGGTTATTAGGAAGGAGAAGAGCAGCCAGCATGTGCAATGTGTCCAGCCTCTCCCACTGCCTCTGCACGCAGGAGAGATGAGCTTGCACTGCGATATCGCTCAGCCCTCCTGCCGGAGATCTGCTGAAGTCTCCCCAGGTTGCAGCTGGGGAGATTTTCAGTTGTTCTAGTTAAACCAAAGTGGTGTGTGGAAATGGGATCCATCCCCCCCACACACACACACACATCAGTCCACCTTGTCACGTGCACGTGCACCTACACTCATTCCCATGGACGTGCACGACAAAATACACATATATTGACACATCCATGCATGAATCCGCTCCCAAAGACAGGCATGCAGTTGTACAGTTATTTATTAATTTAAAAATTATTAGGCACTGGGGATACATCAGTGAACAAAACAAAAACTCCTGCCCTCAAGGAGTTTACGTTCTGGTAGGAGAGAGAAACAGTGCTAGATAAATCTGTAACACATACACTCTCTTAGTAATAAGTGCTGAGGACAAATAGAAAGAGGGGAAGAAGTTAAGAAGTGTTGAGGAACACATATGCACACTCCTTGCTTTTCTCATAATTAACTGGTATTTGGATACCTGCTGCATGCAGGGAATTCACTGGACCATAGGGGAGAATCAGGAGACCTGTAACATATGCTCCTTTAGAGAGCCCGCAGTCCAGTTAGAGATGAGAAACACTCCAGTAGATACTGAGGAGGCAGAGGTCATGAAACTAGCGGAAGGAGGGAGGACTTTGATGAGTGGTAGTTCTCCTGCCAGGATTACACCCAGGCTGGAGAGATGAGTGGAAAGCCCTAGAAACTCTGACCATGCCCAAGCTGCACAAAGCAGGTACACAGTGTCTCAGACCCAGTCCTGGGTCTGTAAACAGAGATCCAAGGGTCTGGGAAGAAGCAGCTTCCTCCCTCCCCTTCATCAGCCATCACCTGGGAGCCCAGCCTCACTGGGACAGCCCGCTGGCACTGGCTTTGCCAGGCTTGCTGTCCTTTTGTCTCTCAGTCTCCCTCACTCTTTCACTATCTCTGCCAATCACAGAAGGCCCGCCTTGCCAGGATCCGTGTGGCCAAAACAGGGAGCTCCAATGCCTACCTGCACAGCAAGCGCAACGGACTCCTCAACGAGGCCCTGGAGCTGATGGTAGGTGCCCAGAGGACCTAGGCTGGGGGAGAGGCAGGGGAAGACAGGCTTGTTTTCTCTTCCCAGGGGCACCAGCACTCCCACCCCAAAGCCCCAGTTTGAACCCTGAGAAGGACACATTTCCACCTTTCCCCAGGTAGCAGCCCCCCCACATACCTCTCCCATGGGGCTATCACTGCTACCCCTAACCAAGCTTTAGACCGAGGGCCCCCAGCCCAAAGACTGGCATGTTCTATGGTGACCCTAAAATTTGGTTCGTCCGGATTTTTCTGGTGCCCTCCTACCTTCTGTGGAGAAATGAAGGCAATGGAGAGAGGAAAAGCCACCGCCTTTATACTCAGTCTCTCTTCTTTTCTTCCTAGGGCACCCCAGAAGAGGAGCACATGGGCAAGACCACCTCGCTCATCGAGAGCCAGCACCATCACCTGCTGCACTGCCTGGAAAAAACCACTGTGAGTCCACCCCATTGCCAGCTCCTTTCTCATCCCTGACCCCTGACCCTCTCAGAGGGCCAGAAGTCACAGAGTGAGACCTCTGTACTCACATCCTCACCCTGGACCCAAGCTTCAGAAGTCAAAATCTGTCCCCTTCAGATCCAAAAAGTAGTGATGAAGTCTCATCAACCCTCAGGAGGAAGACCCCAAGCAGTGAGGCAACGTGTCCAGGGTAGGGAGGCCAGTGCTATCCCTCAACAGTATAGAGGCCATTACCCCCAGCCTTCCCACACACCCCCTACACCAGTCCCACGGCCCATTTCGTGGTTAGAAAGGGCTCTGCCTGTCAGTTTCTCAGCTCTGATGGGCATCACTTTTCAAAACTAGGGCTGAATTTATATTAGATTGAACAGGACAGTAGAGAAGAGCATTAATTTTTGTCCCACCCCTGGAGCTAGGTTGATGCAATCCGTGGGTCCCTTTGCTTCCTACATTCCCCTTGTTACAGGAGACAGTGAAAGAAGGAGGCAGTGCATATATTTCTCTAGCCAGGGATTTTATCAGTACCAACCACTCTTAGTCACCCTGCAATGCTCAGGGAGTTCAGATCCTGAAAGGCTTATTGGTAAAATAGAGCCATGGTTTAGGGTGCCATAGCTGGAATGTGGAATGATGCTTGTGCCTCACAAGACTGAAAGGAAGGGCAGTGGGACCAACCCTGGACCCTTGGCAAAAAGTGCTAGGAATAGTAGGGAGGGAGGAGAAGTCAAGGTGGACAACCAAAGTGAAACCCTTTCCTGTCCCTTTCTAGAACCTCCCTTCCCAAAGAGCCAATAGTCAGAGCTCAGCACACTAAGGAAGGAACTTCCTAATTCTGAATGTTCCATATCCTGGCCTCCCAGATGCAGGGAGAATAGGTGTTAGATGACTCTTAATATGAGCCAGATGTGGACACTGGATGGCACTTGAACCAATGAGGACTTCCAAAATGGGGAGGTACTCTAGAAAACCCTAGTTTCCAGGATTTGTCAAATATTTCTTAGTATCAAGAACTGTATATGCATATCTAGAATTTCTCTCAATGACTCAGAGCTTGCCAAAGGCATAGGCCCGGACCCAACTGCCCTTTCAAAGTTGCATGTGCTGAGTGGAATGTATAAATTCAAAGGATATGGGTGAAAATGTTTGGGTTTGAAGGGCTGGAATGTTGGCATTGAAGAAATGAGATTTTGGAATTGAGGGATGGAATGCTGGCATTGAAGGGGTGGAATGCTGAATTTGAGGGAAAGAATGTTGGATTGTGGGGGTGGGATATTGGGATTCAAGAGGTGGAATGCTGGATTTTAGAGGAGGAATGTTGGACTCAAGGGGTGGAATGTTGGGATAAAAGAATGTTGGGATGGAAGGAGTGAATGTTGGGTTTGAGCAGGGTCATGTTGGAGCCAAGGGGTAGGATGTTGGGGCAAAGTGGGGAGAATGCTGGGAGCGAGGGATGGAATGTCAGACTCAAAGGGTGGAATGCTGGGATTGAGAGACTGAATGTCAAAAATGAGCTTGGGAATGCTGGAATGTACAATCAATGGTGTTTTTATCTTCTGTTGGCATGTTGTCCTGTAGGGGTTGTCCTATCTTGTGGATGATCCCCTGTTATCTGTACGAACCTCCACCATCAAGGTATAACTTTTTAAAAATTCAATTGATGTTTTTCTCTCTGATTCTTCTGAGTCTGTGGATTCTCCTCTTTTTACCGCCTGGTCTGGTTCTCTGCATGTGCTCTTGATTCTTCCGGGGCTTATCCTATCTCTGCTGTCACACCCAGTACCAGCTCAGGCTTCCAGTTCTTTGTGAAGAACTACCCAACTACCTTTCTGATTCCCTCTTTTGACCTCCCCAGGGGCTTGGAGGGGGTGGTGAAACACGACACCAATGTTGGTATCCTGTGAGCGTCCATGTGCCACATCTGTCTGTGCCAGCTCCCCAGCTCCTTGGGGGCTCCTGGTTTTGGCTGTCAGGGTTGGTCTCTCTCTGAACTCTGTTCTCATGCTACTTCTCTTCAGACTTTCTCCACACTCTGGCAAGCTTGGCCAGACAATTAATGCCATACATTTTTAGTCACCTTGGCCAAACAGACGTTTTTTAATTATCCTGGGTTCAGCACCACCCCATCCTAGTGGCCTCCAGTCAGGAGGCTGTTAGCATTCCCCACCCATGCTTACACTTGACCTAGGGAATCCTGTGCCTCCAGGTATATTAAGAATCCGTGTCCCATAGTCAGGTGAAAAAAAACAATAGTTAAATCATAACCCTGATAGTTTGACCCCATTGGCCTTCAAAAGCAAAGCTCTCCCAATTCTGTGAATAATCCAGTGCCTTTCAAAGTCTCACATTTACTCAAGATTCATAAGGATCTCACCCACTAAATCCAGAAAAGACAACCTAGCATACCCACAACTCATAGTCAGTGAGTCCTTATCCGCCACCCCCAGGAGATCCTGTGCAAAGCCTGCAAAGTAAAGTCTTTGCTTCTAGTTCTGATGATGCCACTAAATCCTTCCGTGTCCTCTGTATCCCTCAAAGCTGTAGATGGCGTGTATGTCACATCATGATCTGACACCTGCAGTCCCCACCCTTCAGTCTGATGGCCAAGGCTGCCGATAGGAATCTCTTTGTTTCTTCATTTGATACCTGTGGGACATCACCCCTCCTAAATGCTTATCTGTGCTCCAGGCAGCTGGGAGCCCTTCTCTCAAGGCCCAGAACAGAGACAGGCAGCCATACAGAGTCTGGGGGCTCATCCCCTCCTTCCTACCTCCTTTTCCTACTTCTTCTCCTTCTGCTTCCCACAGAACCACGAGTTTATAGATGAGCAGATGTTTGAGCAGAACTGCATGGAGAGTTCAATGCAGAACTACCCATCCACAAGAAGCCCCTCACTGTCCAGCCACCCGGGCCTCACTACCACCTGCTGCTCCCGTCGTAGTAAGAAGACCACACACCTGCCCAATTCCAACCTGCCAGCCACTCGCCTGCGCAGCATGCAAGAGCTCAGCACGATCCACATCCAGGGCAGTGAGCAGCCCTCCCTCACTACCAGGTGGGTGGCTTCCATCCCCATCACTCCCACAGGTTTGAGTCGTTCCATTCACAGAAGGAAACAGTCTCAGCCTTCAGAGAAGCTTGAGGGTCCTCTAGCCCTCCCTCCCCCTTATCTAATGCACGAGTCCCCTCCACCTTCCTCCCTCCACCTTCCTTCTCATCCTTGCAAGTTAACCCAAAGGCCCTTCATATGCTTTGTAGGATACCATAGCAGGTTTAGGCCCCAATGTGGGGTTAGATACCAGGAAAAATTTTTAAAAATCCAAAAATGACCTACTCCAGTGGAAAGAATGGACCAGCCGTTTTCTCAAGGAAATAATTTTCACAATTGTGTTACACACGGCGAATGCCAGGCTGATTTTGAGTCCTAGACTGACTTTCTCTCCCTTTGTCTGCTTATATTTAGGCCACTTCCCACTGCCTCCAGTGAGTTGCAAGGAATTCAGAGAAAGCAAAAGTCAGATGCCACAAATGATAGGTAAAAATCCACTGGAGGGGAAAATGTGTACTCTGAATTCCGAAGCCCAATATCCGTGATTTTGCAACTGTTGGTAGTTTAGGAATGATAATTAGAATGGATACTTACAGGCTGATTACCAAAAGCAGAGACAGAGAGACACCCAAACCTCCTCCTAGTTACCATGAGCAAGAAATATAGGAGGTCAAGGAAGCTTTGGGACACTAGCAAGAAGAACCATCACCAACTCACTCTTTTTTTATCCCAGTCGCTCCAGCCTTAATTTGAAAGCAGACGACGGACTGAGACCAAACTGCAAAACATCCCAGATCACCACAGCCATCATCAGCATCCCCACTCCCCCAGCGCTAACCCCAGAGGGAGAAAGTCGGCCACCCCCCGCCAGCCCAGGCCCCAACACGAACATTCCTTCCATAGCCAGCAATGTTGTCAAGGTCTCCGCCTTGTAAAACCACTGGACGGAGGGCCAGTGTGGGGTAGTGGGAGTGAAGGGGGCTGGCGTGTTGGTAGGTGGCCATTGGGACCACCCCCTGCCCCTTTCCCCACTATTTCTGCCTGCCCCATTGCACCCCTAGCACTGACACTTGTGCCTGGAAGGAAAAAGAGGCAGCAAAAGGGCGCCTGAGGTTCATTGCTGCTAGCGTGGACATAGCCCTGCGATACGGCATCTCACTGGGGCTGGAGGAAGGGAGGGTGGGGGTAGGGGATGGGCCAGTGGGGGGTATAGGCTGTGTGCCAGGACAGGGCCTGTGGGGGGAGCCTCAGACCAAATAACAGTTGTTTCTGGAGACCCAGTGAGGAAAATCCAAGACCAAGAGCAGCACAGAGGCTGAGTTGTCACATGCAAAACAGGAAGAAAATATAACACTGTGTAATTAAGCACCTTTTTCAAGGCTCTTAATGGATAATATTTATTCATGGGAAAAGGTGGAAAACAAAACTCCAACGGATTTTTGTGAGATGTTTTTCTCCATGGACCCTATACCTTTGAACCAAAACAATGCATTTTGTGAGGGTTTTTTTTTTTCTCCTTTTATAGCAAAAGCTTTTAGGCTAAGAAGTCAGTTATGGCTGAGTTCTCTCTTCATTCCCCTAAGTGGGTAAGGTCAGTTGAGCCTGGGTCCCCACTGCCCAGCTGACCTGCAGAGCTGCCAAGTGACCACACAGCAACACTTCCCCGCTGTCTGTCCCTGTCTCCTGTGTCTCGGTACCTCTCTGCTTCACCCCCTGGCTGTTTTTCTCTGTGTCCAGCCATCTGTCTCTACATGGACCCCTGTGACCCTGAGACATGTTAGTAAAGCCTTCTCTGCTGCCCCGCACTGCAGACATGTGCCCGGGAGCTGTATTTGTGTGACTGCAGTTGTGGAACAGAAAAGAATGAAGCGAAAATGGGCGAGTTTAGGCATGAGGGAAGTCCACCTTATAGAACAAAGTGCTTCCCTTGTGGTTGGAACCACTGGGGTTTGCAGTTTCCATTTCTGGGGAAGAAAGGGAATGACCAGATTGATCACACTGGGATCTTGAAAAGGAACTAGCCAACACTGAGAGGCACAGTCAACTCTGGTGTGTGCCAGTGAAGCGAGAACAGAAGAACCCAAGGCTTGCAGCTGCTGTCGGCCCCCGTGGCGCCTCGCTATGTACCCTTCTTTCAAGACTCACCATAAAGCCCATAGACCTCTGCCAAGAGGTCCCATAAGCAGTGTCCTGCAGAGAGGGCAGTGGTACAGGGACCAAGCTTTTGATTTATCTCACGCCTGAAGCAACTCCCACATGGAGGCTGCAGAAGGTTAAGCCTGTGTGCCTCATGAAGGATGTTCCAAAGTATGAAAGCAAGTAAGAGATTCTAGATGATTCTTACCTGGTCTGAAAGACGCCTTGAGGTCTGAAGAGTCTTCAGGCATGATATCCCTGAAGACAACTGAAATGGGGTAGAAGCCTGATCACCTTCGTGCAAGTGAGGGAGTGAATATTCTTTCTGGAGAACCTAGACAGTATTTCTGTTCAAGTGGCTTGCACCTTGGTGGCACTGGGAACAGCATTTCTGGAATCCTCCTATCCGTTTTCATGGCTTATAGTAGAGCAGGTGGGCCTCAGGGTTAATGACAAGCCCCTTCCCGCCTTCCCCAATCCCCAACTACTCTATTGCAATCTCTCTCGCCTGGGCTCTGAGATATAAGAGCTCCTCCGAAGCTCCTTGTCCGTTCCACAGCTTTATGGTTAGCTGTTTAATTTTAGGCCAAGAATATCTCTGCCCACCACAGCCATCTAAATGAGTTGCACTAGCCAGGAACCTAAAAACACCTTCAATGGGCTTCTCTATGACCCCAGCTCTAGTGACCCTGCAGAAGCGGAAAGTCAAAGGGTTATGAGGTGGCACCTAACCAGAAGGTGGGCAGATGGCAGAGAGGGAGCCTTTGACTTTTATCTTCTTATGCTTTTCCTCCTTGACCACTGACTGAGTCCTTTCTCTGGGTCTGGCCTCAAGGATTTCCCTCTAATATGAGAATGGGGTGGTTCCGGCCCTCTGAGGTTGTGGTCTAAATAGGCAGAGGAATACGTGTGTACAAACACAACATACACACCTGAGAGTAAGTACTTAAATCTATTCATTTCATACACATATCTCATTAGGGAAGGCAGAGGACTGAAAAGGAATTTTTCTTTTGAAAGAATGGGTAATGGAACAAAGTTAGGAATGTCTAAGTATCTAAGTTTACATCATAACTACTGAGTGGCGTAAGGGATACAGAGGTAAATGGCAACATGACTGCCTACACGTACAAACTGCCTGTGTTTAAGAACAGGATATCACAGCGTTGGAATGATGACTGATCCAACCGAGGGTCTGTTTGATAGTGCACCGATGGAGCATATTCGTGGTTCCTACAAAAATTAATTAACCAATTTAAAAAATTAGGTCCCAAATAACTTCCCATTTTTTGACCCTAATGAACTGAAAGTTTTGTATTCCTTCAATTTCATTTCCAAATCCCACATTATGTCAGTTCCTAAAATACCGTTAGACTATCCTCTTCATCGCCATTCCCCAGTGTAGCCTTAGCCAGGGATAAGAGACGTAGCTCACCTCTGGTCGAAAAGGCGATGTCAACCCAGGAAAATGGCTCACCTACATGACAGAATACAGCCAGACTACACTGCTAAAGGGTATTTGTCAGTAGACAAAAGGACCAAAGTGTGCTGAATCAGTTTAATAAGTCTAACTCACTGGCCGGGGACTGAAGAACCAGGATATCAGAGTGCTCTGGGGGCAGTGGCTTTCTGGAGCAATGACTCTTGAGCTTTCATAGTTCATGAACCACGTCAGCATAATAGAAGATTCCCAAAACCACCTGTCCAGTTCAATCCCAGTCAGCATTAGGGAGGGTCAAAAAAACAACTAATAGGCTAGATTCAAATGACTGGAAGCTTAGAAAACATACTGTTAAGAGCATATCAGAACTAGAAGAGATTAAAGAATATCTAATTCATTTTACAGTATAGAAAACTGAGGCACAGAGAGATTAAGTGACTTGCTCAAGGTCATGCAGTCATTTAATGACAGAGCTGGACCAGAACACCAGTCCCTCTGCGAATAGTCTAATGCTTTTTCCACTACACCCACTGCCTCTCAGAGCAGCGATGCTTCGGAGAAGACCCATCAAAGAATACATGCTACGACCAGAGACACAGTCGTATGTAAATGTCAGTACTACTTGGACACAGCCCTTGGAAACCACCTGACTGTACTAATACAAACCATACTCTGGAAATCGCCATTCCCTGGGTAGCACCAGCTCTGGACTATCAATTCTGTCAAAAATAGGTGAACAAGTGGTCAGGTGTTTCAGTCAAATGCTATCTCTTCTCGATAAAGAGAGGGCTAGGATGACAATGCAAAGGATACCTTCTGTAGTCCTTTTGATTCTTTCTACAGCCTCTGATGGTAATAGATGAAGTAACTACATCCTTGATTCACAGAAAGGAAAACAGGCAGGGAGAAGCTGAGTGACCTATCCAAGTTCACGTGATAAGTTAGCGGCAGAACTCGGATTGCAATCCAGGGCTTAGCCATCTCGTCCTGGGATTTTTCCTCCACATCATGTTGCATTACCTGAGGCTTGCTTATACTTTTAATACCTGGATTTCAAGGGTGGTGATTAGGTGGCGGAAGCATTCCATTCAGAGCCACCCTGAACCAGGACCTCCAGAAGCAAACTCTGTACTATTCCCCCTTCATCCCCGATTTTCATAACTGGTGTCAAGCTCAGGACTAATCGCGTAGAATACTGTTCAAAAGACCAGATATTCTCAATGACAATTGAACACATTGGTCTGCAATCACACTGGAGTATGAGGTCAGCAAGTAGAAGGGTGAAATTAAGAAAAACAAAGAATTTGAACAGAAATTAAAGTGAACAGTTAAGGCTGATCCATGATTAACAAAAAAGTCAATTCGTGGATATGCTGAGGACTTTACCCAGTGTTAAAACTATGATTCCTGCAGTTCGGGATCATGTCTGTTACTTATTAGAATATAGGCTGGGAACGTGTACAATGAAACATGTACCTAGATTTTTTCATTGTCTTTTTTTTTTTTTTTAACGTTGCAGAGGTAGTGGTTGAAATTTAGCTAAACCTAGATTTTGAGGTTATTAATTAATTCCAGTGGTCCAGGCTCCCTCGCTTCAATTACCAGGTAACTACAAGGCAGAAAGATCCCAATGCTGTTAATCTAAGGCAATATTAGTTTCCCTTCTAAACTAGTTGACATGGTAACCATGACAAAGAGGAACTTGAAAGACTTTTATTTTCCCTTTCTGATTTCCTTATGAAATCTCATCATTTGCAAAGCTTTAAAAGGACTGAAGGAAAACCATTGCTATGACCTGTGACCCTTGGAGCCCAAACAGCATCATGAAGCACATCATTAGAACTAAGAGAAAGTGGCTGTCAGAAAAGGAAACAGCTTTAAAGGGGTTCCTTTTGAGTCTTGTTTTCTATTCAGAATGTTCTGTGTTTTTCTCATCAAGTGTGGGAATGACATTTAACTTAGCAAGTTACTTAACTACACTGGATGATGTCACTCTAACCAGTGTAGGGCACTGACCCAAGTCCTGGGGGGGGCTCCTTGGACCAATAGACTATTTTACAAACCTGGGAGGTGGGAGGGATGGTATATTTTTGATAACCAGACATTCCAATGTAATGTTTTCCTTAGAGGTCACCCCCATCCCATTAATGTTATCGTGAAAAACATCGTGTGTTCTTTTCTATTTTCGTGTAATAAATGAGCTTTGCTTACCAACATCACAAGGGCAAAGAAGAAAAACTGTACAAAACTGCAGGAAGAGAAACATGTGAAAACTTTCTATGGAAAAAAACTCTTGAGTTTCCTGTCGTCTTCTTTTGAAACTGTAATGCATATGTTAAAACGTATATCATTTACAGTATGAGTCATGTGCCACTGCTGTACCTGATGTATCCAATCTGGATTAAACAATGTGCCACAAACCCTAAAATGATTATGCATGTTTATTTTAATACCCATTCTCCTGCTATACACTAGAAAGTAAGAATAGAGGCCAGCCCTGTGGTGCAGCGGTTAAGTGCGCGCGCTCCGTTGCTGGCGGCCCAGGTTCGGATCCCGGGTGCACACTGACACACCACTTATCAGGCCATGCTGTGGCGGCGTCCCACATAAAGTGGAGGAAGATCTGCATGGATGTTAGCTCAGGGCCAGTCTTCCTCAGTAAAAAGAGGAGGAATGGCATGGATGTTAGCTCAGGGCTGATCTTTCTCACAAAAAAAAAAAAAAAAAAAAAGAGGAAAATAAAATGCCCTTACAAAAAAAAAAAAAAGAAAGTAATAATTTGAACAAAGAGAGGCTTTCTACCTTGCCAGAGAAAAGTCACAGAATCTCTGAAGGGTGCTTATAGGACTAGTCTACTCTCCCCTCCCCCACCCTCCTTCAGTGCAAACAGCTCCTCTGACATCCATGGCAGTTTTTTCTGCTTGTATGCTTTGGTCACGGATGTTCACTAACAGGGAAAGCGTTTGACTGCATTTGTCAACAGCTCTATTTTGAAGCCCAGCCCTGTATTATTGAAAGAAAAGCTGTCTTGATAGATCAGTACTGGTTCTGCTGAGAATACATTTTGTATCCACTCCATCTAAACCAAGGTCTCAAACTTAAATGCCGTATGGGGTACAGCAGAAGGCTTGAGAATTAGATGATGGAGGCTCAAGTTTAGGTTCTGTCACTTGTGTGACTTCACATCAGTCACTTTTCTCTTGGCTTCAGTTTGTTTCCTCATCTTAAAAATGGGGGGATTGGATTACGTATCTTGAATATCCGCTCTAACCTTAATAGTTCTGATGTAGGTAGTGAGAGCAACAGGCATTTTCATATTTCACCACAATGTGGCAACATTGGGAATCCTTTTAATTTCCCCACAACCAGATCCCAATCAATGAAAATTGTGATAGAAATGGAACATTAAGGCAAATGCATGATGCCCAAAGGCCCTAGAGGTTGAGTGTGAAATGCATTTCAATCACTGATGCTCATATCCTTATCACCCACTAGGTGTCACTACAGATCCATAGCTCAAATAATCTGGAGCAAAGTAACTGGAAACCAGATGTGCATTGATTAATACGTGCTCTTTTTCATTAAAAAGCACTAAATGTTAACTGGGACATATGTGCTTGTTCACAGAGGCACAAAACAATAAACATATTCTGCCAAAACAAGAGAATACGCTTGTCATGGCGTTCCAATGTCAGCTATGACTATCAAAAATAGAATTTTATTTTTTAAGATTAACATAGGTTTGTTTACATTTAGGGCGAGGAAACAACCCTAAAACTTCAGACTACTCCCTTGTCTCCAACAAGGTGATCCACAAGTACTATAATTCCTGTTCAATTATTTTTAGCATTTAGGGGCTGAAGTTGACCTCTAAACCACGTATTTCTCAAAGGTTAGTAAATAATACTTAAGCTATTGAGAAAATATTATTTTTAATTACCCAAATAATTTGTATTTTATTTCTAGGTCTGAATTATTCAAAGCAGCAGGTTTCCCCAAGATTTCTCTACGTTGATACTACTAGCCTAATTTAAGTTAAAGCTTAACTTGAACAACTGTAGTTGTGTACTGATTTAGTATTCTAGAATTCAGTTAATTCACACTAGCCCTCATCCAAATTACCCGAATTTATAAAGGCTCTCTATATACATAAAATGATTATTCTTTCCCCTAACTACAAAATATTTTATTAGTTATATATTAATTAAATCTTAGAACTGGAAGGGACCGGAAGGGACCCTAAAAATCTTCTAATCCAACACTCTAATTTTATTGATGAGAAAACTGGACCCTGAGAGGTTAAATGACTGGTACAAGATAAAAAAGTAGGTAGTAGCAGGCTTAACCAGGACAACCACTCTTTCCATTATACTACAAAGCATTCTCAAGTGAATTTACCTAAAACCTATTTCTGGTTCCTAACAGATTACGGGGACATGTACCTGGACTGACAATTCCAAACAAAAAAGCCTTTTCCACACAAAGACACTCCCTCACAAACAGCAGCAGATTCCTTCCACAGCCACCACTATAACTGCATCCCTTATTTGGGAAGGTAACAGCTGAAATTTTCCTAGCAAATGTTTATGGAAAATGAAGCAACTACTATTTGCATGTTATGCACATGCTCACCTCCAGCTTATTTTTTTATTTAAAAAAAAAAAAAGGAAATACAAAATAAGACAAACCTAAAAAGAGAATCCAATTAATTTCAAGACTAATGGATAACCTCATCTCTAATTAAGATGCAGAACTGTCCTAATTAAAATCCCCTAGCAATGACAAACTGAACTTGGCTGTATTATGGGGGAAAGGGTAGGAAAAAGAGAGGTAAGTTCAATTATATAGCAATGACAGGATCTTTCTTAAATATGTAATTAAAGTCTCTACTTAATGACACACTGGACTTAATTATGGATTTGGTATTTACAGTTAATTAATTCATTCTAATTTGGCAATACATGTACAGTACTGATACGTATAAGTAAAGCCTACCATTGCCCAGCCCCAATGACAGGAATCCAAGGTAAACAGGAGTTTAGGACTGTGTCATATGAGTGTTGGATAGTAAATAACAATGGCTGTGGATGTTTGCTGACAGCCCTGGGGGAAAATGTTATACTGCCTAGACAAGTATGTACACAGGGAAGAGCTTTCCTTTTAAAAAATAAATATATATCTCTATACATAAGGGGTTCTCGCACCACAAATCCAGTTCACAGCAAGGTCTGGGAACCAAATGCATAATCATAAAAGGACTGCCACGGAGAAGAAATGAAAGAACGTGTAACTTCTAATTACCTTTTTCTAAATTGTAATTTATAGATGCACCATCTCAGTAAAATGACTGCTCCCCTTGGATCCTAGCATTAGAGGTAAAAACTGGGGAAAAATTTCTAGAAGACACAAGACTAGGCCACACTGTGGGAAGAATTTGAACCGAATGAGTTCCAGCTTCCATAAAATACTTAAAACGAAGAGCTAGAACTTTCCCTGGCCTACCAGCAATGTAGGGTAGTTCTTAATCTGGGTTCCAGAGATGGGCTTCAGCGAGTCTATGAATCCCTTGAAACTGCATACACAATTCTTATTTATAGAATGAGAAATTTTCTGGGACGAATCTATAGCTTTCATCAGATTCATAAAAGGATCCAAGAACTAACAAAAATTAAGAGCTTGCTCCTCTTCCTGAGAAACAAAAATAAGACAGCCACTGATGATCCTTAGCTATTTAATGCACAGTAAAAATGTGGACAGCTTTCACAATCTTAAAAACAAAAGATATTCAAAAGATGAACAAATAAACGCATCAACACATTTGGCTAAGTTTGTATTTTTACTGGTAGCAAATATTTTTACTGGAAGCAAATAGCATCAAATCAAGTACCTTTGGGAAGGTCTGAAACAATGTTTATTCCTTCCTGCCTAAACATAAAAGGGGATTTTCTGATCTACCATGCTACAAATTTCTACAAGGATGCATCTCTATGGAAATGCAGCCCAAGCCTTTTGTAAAGAACTCCACAGCATAGACTAACATTATTTTTCAAATCTCAACTTTTTTTATTTTTTTTTAAGTAAGCAGTGGTATGAGTCTTTTTAAATGTTTCTTTTTGGAATGGCTTATAGAAAATGGCACCCTGGGACCTTTAGCGCTATGTCCCCCAAATTTTCTTTCAAGAATCTGATCCATGAAGTTTCTTAAAAAAAGGATAATGTACCTGACCTAAATCAGGTTTTGATTTAGGTCAAAACAATCTGAAAAATAGATGTGTCCCAGCAGAAAGTCTCAAGATTTTTCAAGTTCCTCAAAAATGCCATTATATGCCACTCTACTAGAAGTCAAGAAGGATGGCTATCCAAAGTATCACTCGTTGATATCTCCGGATGGTCTGAGGTATAGCCTATAGTCACTGGTTGCCACGCATCATTTCTTGTAGATAAACGGTATTCATGTGATAGGCTGCCATCCAACTTGGGTGCCTCTGAGCATTCCAATATGACTGAGAAGCAGCAGCATAGTACTGCTGCCAGGCCCTGTAGTAAGCTCTCCAGTACTCCTCATAATCCTGATAGGTATCATAAGAACTCGGATGCGTTCCTGTATGGCAGTCATACCAACCATCTTCCCGAGGTTCTGTCTGCAATCGATAGGAAGACCGCCTAGGAAGGCTTCTTCGGCTCTGCTTAGCTCTCTGGTTGACTCCCTCTTTATGCCTTGCCTTTATTTGGATTTCAGGTGATTCTTGATACTCTACTAGATTAGGGGTCTCATTTCCATTCAGAGGTTGATCCAAAGAGATATGGCCATCCCCAGGAGTAGATTCCGAGTCTTTCAGCTGAGTATCAGAAGAGCCTTCCAAGTATGATTTATTTCCTTTGCTCTGGGAAGAAGTCCTTGAGCTGTAAGAATCACTGTCACTCTCAGAGTCTCCAGACTGACTACTACTTGCCAATACCTGCACTCTCTCTTCAGTAATTCTGTTTCTCACAAAACCATTCTGAGGATTCACAGTCTGATCCCCAGGACCTGTGTAGTGCCTGATGATTTCCACAGGTTTCTCCAACCCCTCTTTAATGAAGTGTTCATAATCCTCTACCAATTCTGCAAAAGGCAAAGTGCACGGCAGATGGCTTTTAAAGGAAGACAGACAAGGAATCTGGGGGAGTGACACAGGTATAGCTTCTTTGACCTGGTGCTGACGGTCAGTAGAGTTTCCAGCAGGGGTCTGACCAGAATTCTGCATTTGTTCTTCCAATTGTATGGCACAGCCCAGTTCTTTTGGTGACACTGCTTTTTCTATGATTCCACAATCTGAGTGACTTTTCACAGGAAGCTTTTGTTTGTTATTATTTTTTGATGTGACTGATAATGCACATACAGAAGTATTTCTAGACGAAGCCACGTGGTTACCATGAGCTTTCTGAGTGTGAAAGGTTCTCTCTAGTTTTTGAATTTGCTGTTTTAGAGGCTGGGCAGGTACACTTGCTAAGCCGTATGTATGCACAGCAGCTTTAACTTCCACATCCCAATCCAAACATTCTTCCATCAGACCAGGAGGAATGGGATCTACATAAAAAGAATAAAAAATATTAACATTCTCAAACTGCTCTAGACTAGCATTTTCTGAATGATTTCATAAAGCTTTCCATGGTCAAATAATGTTAAGAAACAAAATATACTAATAATATATAAAAAGCTAAAGAAATATATTATTTTAAAAGACCCAATCTTTGCACTAAAGTAGTTTGCCCAAAAATATACAAGACCCATCCCATACTCAGAAGCACTCTCTTGCCTCCCCAGACACGTGAAAGAGCTTACTCTAGGAGTGCGGTACCAGTCTGCAGCAATCCTCCCGTCTTTTCTCCCTGTCCCCAACTCCTCCCCTGTATCTCATTACTGCTGACAGCACAAGATCTTAGAAAATGGACTGTGCTCCCCAAAGCTCATCAATTGGGAAATATTACAACTGCAACTCTGTACCCAAGTAAGTCTGCCACCCTATACTCCAACAAGGAGAAATCACTGCCCTCAACAGGGGAGAAAACGCCCTCTACAAGGAAAAAAGCTAGATGACTGTGAAAAAATCTGTGGTACCAATGGCACTTGTAAGTTTTTAAAAATTTGCTAGCTCCAACTCTCTGAATTTCCTATTCCATACAGGTGTGACAATTTGCTTCCACCTCACACTCAGATCTTTCCAAAGTGTGATCAATTTTCATCTTAGGCAGACAAAATATACAGAGGCCCTGCTCTACAAAGACTCTGCCTATCTGCTATTGCTCCAGGTATCTGTACCCACTACCTAATCCCTCGGATCTGGATTCTTCAGTTGGGGCTCTTGATCCTTTGCTCAACACACCGTCTGACTAAAACTCTGATTCCTACTAAGGTGATATCCCTTGCTTGCCTAGGCCTAGATACTGGCCAATTTCCCTCCCAGTCCTGCCCCAGGCAACTCATCTGCACAGTCTGTTGTCACACAAGTTCCTAGCCCAATACAGATCTAACACCATGAATACCATCTTCTCATGATTTCAGGGCTTTGTTTACGTCACATAAAGATCCAAATATGTCATTTTCCCGTATCCAAAGGCAAATTTTATCACTAGATGCTATGATACTGAATCCTACAAGAAGTCTTAACCCTTTTCTACCAAATTTCAATTTATTTTTTCCACATTATGATCATCTGAGAGATCACCAATAGACTTACACATAGAATTAACACAATACAGAGTCTTAGAACTGAAAGAGAACCTCAAGACCATCTACTCTAAAAACAAATCTTTTATAAATCAGGACATAAGCTTAGAGCAATTAAAGAAATCTGTAAAAAGATCATAAAATGAATTATTACAAAGCCAGAACTACTAGAATCCACAGGACTCCCAAACTTGTGCTTAATCTAGCTTTGTAAAAATCACTGAAGGAATTAAATATAAACTGGTAAAATATTCATTGTTATATTTATTCAATAACTCCATATACCATACACTAGGTCATATATACATTATATAAGTATACATTTATGTGTGTGTGTGTGTGTGTATATATATACACACAAACACACACACATTAACATGCATATATTAACATATATAGCGAATAAACCATATTTCCACACAGGAGTTTTTTAGGGCTTTTTGTTTTCAAGAGACCATTAATAGTTTCAAACATGCATTGTTTCTAAGATAGCAGTTTATTTTTTTTTTATTTATTTTTGTGTGTGTGTGAGGAAGATCAGCCCTGAGCTAACATCCATGCTAATCCTCCTCTTTTTGCTGAGGAAGACCAGCTCTGCGCTGAGCTAACATCTATTGCCAATCCTCCTACTTTTTTTCTCCCCAAAGCCCCAGTAGATAGTTGTGTGTCATAGCTGCACATCCTTCTAGCTGCTGTATGTGGGACGCTGCCTCAGCATGGCTGGAGAAGCAGTGTGTCAGTGCGCGCCCAGGATCCGAACCCGGTTTGGCAGGGCCGCCACTAGCGGAGCGCGCACACTTAACCCCTAAGCCACGGGGCCGGCCCTAAGATAGCAATTTAAAAAAGCAGCTTGACAAATGATTCGCTAAAATCAAAAGAAAAACACTTCAAAATGTTCAAAATAGTGTTCAAATTAATGATACTGTTCCTTCCCCATGGTGACAAAGGAGAATATGGCAAGAATTACCTTCACAGCAACATAAGAGGTAAAATATCCCCCTTCATATATAGAATAAAATCAAATTGCAAGACTACAAACTAAAAAATGGAGCTAATATGGTAGCAAAATATTTTTCATTTTTCATATGCCAGTAGTTAGCTTGCAATCCTCTCTCTGCTACTTATTAGCTCTAAGGCCTTAGGCAAATTACTTAACCTCTTTATGCCTCAATAGCCTCATCTACAAAAAGTAGATAACAACAGCACATACCTCACAGGATTATGGTGAGAATTAAATGAGTTAACATACATAAAATCCTTGGAACAGTACCTCACACATCATAAGTACTCTATGTTAGCTAATATTTTTATTAGGCCTATCATCAATACCATTATTATTCTGACAGCAAAATGAAACAGACAAAATATACCTGGTAAAGGCAGAAGGTTAATATTACATTTCTGGGCAATTTTCATCATCATATTTTCTTCTTCTCCCCGGCAACAGTAGGTCACTGTCAGTCCCAAAGTACCTACAGCACGGAGGGAATGTTAAGTAGTAAATCATTTTCACATAAATGACACTCCTGTCACATTACAGATTCTTCTCCTTAAATAAAGCACCCAAATTCTTCTTTTTTTTTTTTTTTTACCAAAACGGCCAGCTCTGCCAATCCGATGCATATATGTCTCCCAATCCAATGGTACATCCAGATTTACAACCAGATTCACCTTCTCAGCATCAATCCCACGGGAAGTCTTGAATTGAAGAAGAGAGCAATTGTTTGTTTGCATTAACTGTAGCATGGGTACCAATGCACGCACTATTATTCTATTATAACCAAGGGCCAAATTAAGAACAGGAAGATACTTAGGAGTGAGGAGGATATTTAGGAGCAAAGGAAAAGGAAATTCATTCTAATAACTAACTTCAAGAATAAAGATAAAAATATAAAAGACATTTTTAAGAAAGCATATTCCCCAGCACTGGAAAGACAATTATGCTCTGGTATTCTTGTCAGATACACTCACGTAAAATAACAGATGAAATCTGTACATCTGATAATAGAACATATGTCAAGATGGATTAGTCACCCAAACTGAATAGGAAATTTACCAAATCTGTGGAAATGAGGACTCTGCAATGAAACTGCTTCAGTTTAGCCATAGCATCAAGACGCTGATTCTGATTCATGTTGCCTAAAAAGACCCAAAAAGAAAGTCATATAAAAACAAGATAATACACATTTATCAAATCCACAAAAAGCAGAAATCATAACTCCCCCAGTCTTCACACTTTAAAAATATACCAACCAAAGTTAATTCTGTTCTTATATGCAAATCTAGGTTAAGACCTTAAGTCATAATCTTTTAAAATATGGTTAGGCAATCAACTTGAAATTCAAAAATCAATTTTAAATGGTGACTAGTTTATGCCTGCAGATATAACATTAAGTCTGCAAAGTTACATATGAGGTATAACAATTCTTAGGAAAATAAAATTAGTTTGATCAGCTGTTTATAAATTTGGTGTTGAAGTGTGATCTATAGTCAAAATATTGGTCCATTAGAAAATAGTCTCCCCAGTATCTCATTATATACCATGACTGAACAAGCTTAGGCTAACAGGTTAAAAACCAAGCTGAGATATCAGTCAAAACTCTAAAAAGGATCTCACTGATCAAAAATTCCTTTAAATCTTTCATTCCTATTAGGCCAACAGTAATAATTTAGCTTTGTGTCAAAAATGAATCACTTTTGCCTCTCACAAGACCATAAAGCAGTCAATTCAGTTAGCAATTCTTAGCATTTTAACAATGATTATGTAAAGAAGCAAAATATTTTTCTCTTAAGATGACAAAGACAAATTTTGTTTTATAAAATTATTAAGTTCTTTGTGGATTTAACTCTAGTCTTCTAATTTTTTATTATATACCAAGTAATTTCTTAAAAAACAAGGATATTGATTTATTAAATCTCAGTAAAAAACAAACCTGAAATTTCCTTTACTCTGAAGACTCTGCAACCTCACACTCACAAGACAACTCATGAAGTGGTATTTCTTCCTCCTGACTTGGAGAGGCTTCAGTCAGGATATTAAACAAAGATTAAAGTAAGAGATGAACTTACCTGAAATGCATTCTGCAGGAAAGCCTTTAGAAGAAAGGATATCAGCCAAATGTTGTGCTCTATGAAAAATAACATAGAGAGGTACAATTTTACAAAAATTGCCCCATACCTATCCTTTTATTTCACAAGTTTCCCAGATGATCTTTTAAGGTACATTACCTGCTGTGCAAATTAGAAAAGACTAAGGCTTGATTAAACGGAATTCTGCTAAACAGTTCCTGTAAATGTTGAGCTTTTTCCTCAAAAATCTTATGGGCCAAAGGGTATGAATTGACAATTTTGTAATACTGCTTCAAACCTAGAGAGAAGTCAAGAGTCTTCTGTTAAAACAAACATATTTGCTATATCCTAATAGCAAATATGAAAGCAATAGCCAATTAGGCAAAGGAAAGCTCCAGAAAATCATAAACAAACCAGTAATGTAAGCATCCAATATCTGTACACACCTATGAGACTTGGATCACTGGAATTTAGTCTTACAAAAGTGGGATCTCTCATGTACTTTGTCAAAGCATTAGCCAAAAATTCAGGGTAAGTAGCTGATACTGCCAACATCTGTTTACTGGCAGGCAAGGAAGAATAAATCCAACTGCAAAATAGAAGAAAAACAAACCATGAACACTATTCCGACAGTAACCACCACCTGGAAAACCTAAAGATAGATACTTTGGGGCACCATTTTAATAGTTAAGGTAGTTATTTTTCTTACTTTATTTGCTCCTGGAAGCTGCCTTCTTCTAAAAGCTTATCTGCTTCATCAAGAATAAAGAGACGTATACTGCCTGGGTTCAAGTAGTCAAGTTCTATCAGTTGTTTAATTCTGCCTAAATTCCAAAAAAAAAATTGAAATATTTATGATGCGCCAAATCTGTGCAAATCTCAGCCACTGTTGTTACTACTTACTCACAGGTTGTACTGCTGACTTTCCTGACCCAATCCTCATTATGCATTTATACACTAAACCACAGTTTAAAAATCTTAAGTTCTGATCTTGCCTAAATCCATTATTTTTCTCTCATGTTTCATCCCCAATAAGTATGGAAAATAAACACTATCCCTATCAAAAGACTTGAACACTAAGGCAGTGAATGCTAGATTCTGACTCCGAATGATTCATGACTGAATGATTAATAGAGAAGCAAAGAATAATCCCAATCCATGGCTTAGAAGAGCTTCCTTAATGTCATCTCACTCCTTCTCTTCTTAGAAGCCTATCCCATACATGTTCTTAAACATCCTTGGGAATGGAGATTTCATAAATTCTGTTGGTAATCCAGTCACATGTCTATACCTCACTGGTCTAAGGCTCTTCATTTCTAATCCTCAAAATAATTATCATAGTTATCAAAGATTCCCATATTCTTATTGTTATATTAAAAGTGTTCAGTTCCTTAAAAGCCCCAGTCATGAACAGGCATTGATAGCTTACCAGGAGATCCAACAGCAATATGACACTTTTTAAGTCTGGTTTTGTCTTGTGATAATGGAGTCCCGCCAATAAAGACATGACACTCTAAGCCTTCCATTTTTATTCCAATCGCTGTGATAACAGAATGTATCTGTACAGCAATTTCTCTTGTAGGAGCCAAGATCAAAATCTACAAAAAAAGTAAAATATATCTTTAATGAGTCAGTGGAGTAAATACATGTGATTGGCACATTCATTATATGATGAATTATTTAACATTTAAATGATCATTTTAAATGATGAGTTTTTATTGACAAGAGAAACTATTCCATTCATTTATTCATGTATTCATTCAGTAAATATTAAATAAGAACCTATTCTGTGCTAGGCAACATACAAGTTGCTGGGGAGTCAACAGTTAACAGCACCAAGTCTTTGCTCTCCTGGCACTTGCATTCTTGGATGATAAGAAAATATACAATAAACAAACATACACAAATAATGGCAGGTAGTGAAAAGTGCTATGAAGAAAAATCAAACAGGGAAAAGAGAAAGAAGCAACAAAAGAAGGGAAGGAGCCACATTAAATGGGGTGATCAAGGAAGGGCTCTCTGAGGAGGTCACTTTTGAGCAGAGAATTAAATGTACACCACAGAGTAGAGCTAGCTATGTGATAACTAGGGGGGTGTTTTCAGGAAGAGGAAACAGCAAATGCGAAGGCCTTAAGATGGTATTGTTCTTGGTGTGCTGGAGGACCAGCAAGGAGGCGCATGTGGCTGGAGAGAATTCCAGGAAAGGTAAGATCAGAGATCTAGCTCCAGGGGCTTGGTCATGAAAGGCCTTGGAAGTCACAGTGAGAACTCAGCAATATCACTACCAGAGGAGAAGGTGAAACTACACATTCTCAACTATGAAAAGAAAAAACCTGCTTAAGAAAAAGACTAGGAGAAAATATGCCAAAACTATTGATTAGCAGTTTCTCTCTGGGTAGGTGGGATTATATTTTGTTTTCTGATACTTATTGATACTTATTCTGATATTTATTTTTGTATCTTTTGCCAATTTTCAAAAAATGAATATGTATTACTTTAATAACACAAAAATCTTAAATTAAAAAATACAAATTTTATTTATGGAACTTATTCAGGGTTTTGGCATTTGACCCGCTGCCAAAATGGCAGAAGCCAAAATCTCAAAAACATCTCAATTCACAAGTGGAATAGCCCAGGTCCTTGGGAAGTAGAAGGATTTTCTATGTGCAACATCAGCCAGCATTTGGTAGATATATAACACAGGACTGAAAAAGCCTCATAGGGGCTGGCCCAGTGGTGCAGTGGTTAAGTTCACATGCTCCACTTTGTTGGCCTGGGGTTCACAGGTTCAGATCCCTGGCAAGGACCTACACCACCCATCAAGCCATGCTGTGGTGGCATCCCACATACAAAATAGAGGAAGATGGGCACAGATATTAGCCCAGGCCACTCTTTCTCAAGCAAAAAGGGGAAGATTGGCGATAGGTGTTAGCTCAGGGCCAATCTTCCTCACACACACACACAAAAAAAAGCCTTATAGATGATTAATATGGGTATTCAGGTTAAAAAACACTGTTGGAAGAATCATCATCAGATATACACGACTGAGAACTTGAAATACAGTCTGTCGCAACTCCTAAAAACACAAAGTAAGACTATGAAGATCATATCTGATTCATATGTATCCCCAATACAATATTCTTTGTATCCTGAATGCCTGGCATACTGTTTATACATAATATGGACTCAACAAACCTTTGTTGAAGAAATGACCCCCAAACCCAAACCTCCTCTTAATTTAGGTAAGGCCATCTTAGACCTACTCCAAGAGAACCTAGAAGATGAGAGAGCACTATGATACATTCACGGAGCTGTAAGAACCACCTGTGGGGACCAGCAATAGGCAGAGCACCACATTACCATGAATCAAGCCAAATGCCAAGTCCCACCACAATCTGGTCAGCAAGTAAAAGAATAAAGAATCCCTATCCCTATTCTCAAGTAACGACAAAATGGACACACACGGCAGACGCTGTATTTAACACATGGTAATAATAGAAAATTCCAAACTTCTAACAATAATAAGGTATCCTTGGTTACCATCCACACCACCACCACTCCACGGCCTTGAAGTCTACTTACTTTCATACTTTTCATGTGGTTTAATTCAATCATTCATCAAATTCACTTCTATCTCTGAGGAGCCACTGGTATACCAGTGGTAAAAATCCACATCCCACACCCTCTTCTGGGTCCTCTGAACTAAACTCACCTGGGTACTTAAGTTTTCGAGAATAAGAGAGTCCAAAGCAATGGTGGAGAACACACAGGTTTTCCCAGTGCCAGACTTAGCTTGAACAATTAAATCTGCGAAGAAAGAACAATTATTACTAGGCAGTACTGGCTGAAGACGCTTAGGTACCGACACGAAATCACAGAGCTGGAAGGGTCTCCAGGGATCACCTACTTGGCCCCTACGCCTTTAGTTAACTCTCAAAAACGCATGAGGCCATATCCAGAAAGATGCCTCGTCCCTGACTCTCCACCTGATCTTCTCAAACTCAGAACCACTCGTCAGTGCTGGAAAGGGCCCTATCTAACTTCAACGTCAATACTGCGCCCCTGTTTCACAAAAAAGGAAACTGAGCCGCTCTGCCCCAGGCCCAGCCCTGCACTGGCGGCCGCGAGGGGCTCCTCCCGGCCGGGCCCCGCCTCCCCTCGGCCCCCTTCCTCGGGCCCTCCCGCCCTCACCGAGCCCGCAGCGCCCCAGCGGGATGGCCTTGAGCTGCACGGGGGAGGGCCGCTCGAAGCCGGCCGCCCGCAGTCCCTCCAGCACCGGCCGCGACAGCAGCAGCGACTCGAAGTCCGCGGGCTCCGCCAGCAGCACGTCCCCCGTGCGGGTCCGCGGGCCGCCGACGTCGTGAGCCGTCCGCAGGCTCCGCACCAGCCCGGGGCTTGGCTCCGGGGCGGAGACTTGTGCCGCCGCCCGCTCCGCCGGCATAGCGGCCTCCACGGTCCCTAAGGCAGCTGGGGCTTCAAACGCCGCCGCCATGGTAGCCGCGCCGCCAGATCTCGCGGTACTGGAGGCGATGTAGGGAACCTGAAAGCGAGAAGAAGAAAAACTTTATTGGCAGTCTTCCCGCGAACACACGGACACGCCTGGCCTCGAAGAGGGTGACGGAAGTCGGAGGCTTAGAAAGACTCGGAAACAGCGATAACAACAAAGAATGTGGCCGGAGGAAGGCGAGGAGAGGGAGGAGAGGAAAGCTGAGGCTACCTGTGTGCGGCCTGCAGAGGGCGCCGCGCGCTCACGGTGGGGGCGCCGCCCCGCCTCCCGGCCCCCTCGGGCGGGTCCGTGCCGCCCCGCGCCCCCGTCGCCACCCTCGGAAGGCCGTCTTTGTGATGCGCTCGGTGCGTCACGCTCCCTGCTTCCGCGCCCCCGCCCCGCGGTCGCCTCCTTCCGAACTTTCCCGTTCCCCGGCCTGACCCGCAGCCTCTTCTGCGCTCGCAGACGGCGCCCCGCGTACAGCGAGACTTACGGTTTACCCGCTGTCTGGTGTATGTCTGCCTGCAGTCCCGCTTTATTCACCTCTGTGGCCCCGGCCCCTGGCACAGTACCTGGCACAGCGTGACCGCTAATAAAAGTAAATTGAATTGGAACCGGGAACTGGACTGACAACTCCCGAATTCGTGTCTCCACTTCAAACCTCGGTCTAAACTAGACTTGTACCTCCGTCTGCCTTCTCAATGTCTCCACTTAGGTGTTTAATAGACATCTCAAATGTAACGTAGCTTCTGTGTGTTGCCCCGCCACCATCTCATGGGTGACAACTAACAGTCTTTACCACTTCCCCTTTAGGTCTCTGCTCAAATATCACTTTTTCAAATTGGTCTTTCCTGAACACGCTATCTAAGATAGCTCCCCCATCCTGTCGGCTCCTCCGCCTTTCCCACCACTGTCTATTCCCTCGTTCTGCCTTATTTTACTTCAAGGTACTTATCACTACCTGGAATTATATGTGTGTGTTATTTGTCTCCCCCACTCTATGAGGACGGGGACGTACTCTATTTTGTTTTCTGCCGAATCCCTAATGGGAAAAACAGAATCTGACACATAGTAAGTGCTCAACATTTATTGAATAGATGAGCTCGTATAACAGTCTTAGTCGTAATTCCAAATTTAAGTATTTCTGGAACCTAATCTTATTCACAATTCCAAACCTAAAGATACTCTGCATCCAACCCCAAGTTTCACCTTTGTCCTTTTATCATAATTCTGGTGGTTCTCTCTCACCCCCTTCACACACACACACATGCACGCACGCACGCACGCACACACAGAGTGATGATCCTGATTCGAAATGATGTAGGAGGGGCTTTGGCATGGTAATCCCATTGGACAGGCGTCCTGAAGATGCATTTTACTTAGAAATTTACAAAACATTGAGAAAATGTCAACTGTCCATATGAAAGAAGGGGGACTGTTGGGAATGGGCACTAAAGATTCCAGGCTTCCTCTTAGTGCCCCACCTCTTTCATCCACTTAATCCCCAAATCCCAAATCTGGGAATTATTCTTGACTCCACCTTCTACTATCCCTCTCTCCTTTCTAACGATTACCTGGAGGGCAGGTAAATTTGCCTCCAAATATTTCATCCATTCCTTTTCTCCAGTCTCCATAGCATCTATCCTATTTTAGGCCCCTTCATTATCCTAACTATTGCAACAACCTCCCGAATGGTCCTCTTGCCCAGAATTCCTTCTCTCTCCTAGCCACCCACCCTATAAGTGCTGCAGCAATCTTTCTTAAGTGCATATCTTAGGTTGTTTGGGTCCAGTTTCAGATTCAGCTGCTTTTGACAACCTTTTTTATTTCCCACCCCAGGTTCCTACTTCACACTATAAATAATTCCAATCTAGCTCTTACAATATTGTGTTTACTTGTTTACGTGTCTGTCCGTCACACTAAATGAACTATGAGCTTCTCAAGAACGGGAATTTTGTCACCCTAGGATCTCCAGGCCCTTGGTAGACCTAACAAACATTGAATGGCTGACACTTTCTTGCTCAAAAATCTCTGCTGGATCTCCATGTGCACAGCAGCAGTCCTGTAGAACTCACACCAATCCCTGACAAAGAACCTGGCTCTCATCCCAAAAGAAACAAAAAGACTATTTTTCCAGAAAAGAATAACTATAGTTTTATAGACATTCTGTTATTGTGTTTGCTGTTTATGATGTTTTATGGACGCAAATATTGCAGTAATGTTACTAGGAATAAATTGTATTGCTATAGCTAAAAACACAAATCAATAAAATTTTTTCCTCAATAGTTAAAAAGTGTATTAATTTTGTTGACCATAATTTTTAGGGCTGTAAAGATAAAACACAAAGGTAAAAGACCATTTAATAACTAGGTAAGGTGTGAGAGTAACATACACAGAAACCAGGTGGTCTGCTGTCTGCCTCCTGGCCTCCCCCAGGAAAAAATCACAATGGGACCCAAGCCCCTTCTTGTGCTGTTCTGTCTACCTGGAAAGCCTTTCCTCATCTTATGTACCTGGGAGCTTGAGGACAGCAAGATTCTTGTGAACTGAAGAAGTGGGAGTAAGACTTAGACTCAGAATGGATGTTGAGGTTCAAATGGTCCCATGCTATCATTTTGCAGTGGAGGTCTCTGCACCCAGAGGAAAGGAAAACAATGTAAATGAAAGCATGGATGTAAGATGGCCCACCCTGGGTGTGAGGATCTGGGGGAGGATGTGGAAAGAAGAGAAAGAGCTAAGGTTTTTATAGCCACTTTTTCTCATTTGGCCCTCAAAGCAACAAAGGGTAGGCAACATTATTATTTGCATTCAGCCTGCAGACATCTCTTTATTCATTCTTTCAACAGAAATCTTCTGAACATCTAATATGAACCAGCCAAATGCTCGAGATACAAAAATGGGACAAAATAAACAGAGTCCTTGCCCTCAAGGAGAAAGACACACATAAACAGGTGGCACTGATAAAAGAGGAAATAGGCAAGTAGCACAAAGTGGTGTAAAATCATATGCAGTACTGACATTTTTCAGGGCCTTAGTTGCTCAAAGTGTAGCTGTCACGCGGGAGAGAGTGTGAACTTCTGAGAAATTGAGGAAAACAGCTTTTGGCTTTCAGAGAGCAATAGCTTTCTTCTCTATGCTCTTCTCATCCCCACCCAAAATCAAAGTGGTTTAAAACATGCATAGAAAAGCATGAGAAAGACTCGATGCACAGATCATTCCTTACCTAATCCCTGGAGCCCAGCACTTCGGCCAAGACAGCAGCACCAGGAGAGGAACCTGAGGTCCCATGAAGCACTGGGGGCTGATTTTCTGAGCTGACTTGAAGCATAGATAAGGAGTTCATCAGGCAGTGGGGGTGGAGGGAGAGCTCACCAGGCAGACAAGTTAGGAAGATATTCTGGGCAAAAGGAACAGTTTGTGCAAAGGCGTGGAAGCATGAGAAACCACAGTAGTATAGGGAAGGTACGGGCTTTAGTGTGAACGGAGGCAAGTATGGCAGCAATTACCAGGAAAGCGGCTGCAGGGATATATTGGTCCCACATCGTGGAGGACCTTGTCTGTTACCATAAGGAATATAAAATGAAGGTGTCGTGCTCTCCCAAAGCGGGGTAGTGTTAAGTAGCAATAAAGAGAAATTCAGTTGGAAATGTAGATTGGGGCTTGACTGATGGCAAAGGAGAGGAGTTTGGATTTTAACTTGCAAACCATGGAGGATCTTCTAAATTTGGGATCTAATTGGTGGCAGGTAACAGCAAGGCCCGCCTTACACACTGTTTCTTGCACCTAATAGCTCCTGGCTCTTTTAAGTGTTGACACACTGCTTTCCAAGAGCCAGTGCTTACCGTGTACTACTTATCCAGTGAACAGGGACTGAGCACGTGCTTCCTAGTTCTCTTTCCCACCTGTATTCTTCAGTTCATCTGCTCAGTTGAGCAGCTGCTCAGTGACGAGCACCACCAATAAACTTAAGTTATATTAAGTTTATCAAGTAATAATATCTGGCCTTTTGGACGGAATTTACTGTTTCATGACCTGCTCAATCCCATGTGGCTACCTCCCAACGTGGAGAATAACTGTTTTTACATGTGCCCCATGGCCTATAGGGAGACCATATCTTTGGTACCTTTTCAGACAGGAATTGGGAGAAGGGGCAATGCAGCAAGGTCCAGTCCCCTGCACTCTGCGCTGCCACCTCCCACCAAGAGGATTTGTCTGGCTGGCTTTCGGTAAAGAACCCCAGGCCATCCTCCTTCTCTACAGACAAGATTCCCCTCTGCCCAAGGCCCATGTTGATTAATTGCCCCCATTTAATACCACAGCCTCAGTCTTTAGGGAAGAAGGCGTCACGTTTGCTCTTCTCCCAATTCATTCTTGTCCAGGCAGCATAATAAATAACCTGCCCCTGTTGGCAGGGAGTTTATTAGAGACTGATGGGACATTTAACAATAAGTGGGGGCCTGTGATTTATTAGGTAGGGAGGTTCATGGCATCTCCGAAGACTGGGATGTGGAATTTAATTGGTAAAGCGGCTGTCAGCAGCAATGAGATGCACTCAATAGAATACGCATTTGCGGGATTCTCTTTGGAGCTGTCAGGAAGGTTTCTGCTAATCATATTCGGCTCCTGCACATGATGGTCTCTGTTGGATATCTGGGTAAGAGACAAACGGCAGGGAGGGGTGCACCTGTCAGTTGCCCAGCCCGATGGAAGAATGTGACACAAATGAGCAAAAGGAAAAAGGATTCCCATCACCCTAAGTGAGGGTTCCCTTCAAGAGGCCTTTGTCTCTCTTCTGCGAGCTGCTCAGAGCAAGAGATGCTGAGACCCGTTTCCTGGAAAAGGAGGGAAATGAAAGAGTTAAACAGCAAGACGAAAGATTTGTTCTGGAATTCTAAACTCCCTAAACCCTCCAGTCTCTGCACCAGAGACACCCTGCCTTGCTCTCCAGCCACTGACACTCGTATATACAACACACACACCCAGCAGCACAGTTTCCCTCCTTCCCCCCAACACACCACAGACACCCCACATGCACAAAGCCCCCCTTGAACCCCTGGTTCAGGGGGCTGCTCCTCCTGTCACTGCTGCTTTCATGCCAAGAACAGAGCCGCAGAAACTCAGATGCATGGAGTCTCACATATTTTTTGCTGTCCCCTAGCTCCGGAGACCTCAGAATCCAGGCTAAGAACCTGGAAATAAATGCCTGTGGCCTGGAGTGTGCAGAGCATACAGCTACCTTACTCCCTCAGCCCACCCTCCACTCAGTTTCTTGACAATAAGGGAAA